AATCCTACTTTCTAAGAACTGTCTTAATCTCCCCACCCCACCTCCAACATACTCCTACCCCATCTCAGCCCAATATTTTAAGAACATCCAAATACATTTCCATAAAATATCTTGGGGCAATACTCATGCAAGATTTTATTTTTATTTATTTTTTTGCAAAGAGAACTTACTATATTGCCCAGGTTGGTCTTGAACTCATGATCCTCCTGCCTCAGCCTCCAGTAGCTGAGATTATGCATATGTGTCACTATGCCCAGCACTAATTGTTTTATTTTTATTTTTTTATTTTTTGGTACAGGGGATTGAACTCGGGACCTTACGCTTGCAATGCTGGAGGCGGAACCACTGAGCTAAATTCCCATCCCTAGAACTAATTATTTTATTTATTTATTTATTTTTTTGGTACTGGGGGTTGAATTCTGGTTCTTGCACTTGTGCAGCAGGTGGCGAAACCATTGAGCTAAATCCCCGGCCCATAATTATTTTAAATCAAGTCATATTTATTATTGGCCTTTGACTTTTTTAGGAATATGCATAATTCTGATAATATTCATTTGAATCTACTTTAAAACATATTAATTCATTTAAAAGAAATCCATTCATTCACTCAACCAAATTACGGAGGCCCTAAGGTACCTAGAAATAACTTTTACTGGTACTGGGGATGTAACACAGGGTTGCTCTACTACTAAACTAAATCCCCAGCCCTTTTTCTAGTTTTTGAGAAGGTTTCACTAAGTTGCCCAAACTGGCCTTGGAACTTGTGATCAGCCTGGCTCAGCTTCTAGTACATAGGATTACAAGTGTGGACCATCACACCCTTTCTAGGAAACAACTTCTAAAAATTCTTCCTTCCTCCTTTCCAAGTAGTAGCAGACAGATAATAAACATAAAATACTGTTTGTTGGGGAATGGTGGCTCACCCTTGTAATCCCAGCATTTGGTAGGCTGAAGAGGTAAAATGGTTCATTTTTTTCCAAAACAATTTTTTTTTGGTACTGGGAATCAAACTCACGTCTTCTGCTTGGCAGGCAGGTACAAAGCCACACCCCGGGCCCTTTAATTTTTGAGACAAGGTCTTGCAATGCAGTTCAGGCTGGCCTTGAACTTGGCAATCCTGCTTTAGACTTCCATGGGGGCTGGGAATACAGGTGGGTGCCACCACACCCAACTCAAGGATAGATGAATTTAAGGCCAGCCTGACCTATACAGCAAGACCCTGTGCCCTGCCACCCCCAAAGTGCATTTTAAAAGCAAGAAAAAAAGTGGAACAGGGGCTAAGTGGGAATTCCAGGGTGCTAGGGCAGGTTGCAATTTTAAACAGGGTGATAAAGAAGATTTAAGAGGGTGACATTTGAGAAAAGACTTGAGGCAAGGGATGTATGTAACTCACTGGTCAAACACTTGCCTAGTTGTTTATATGTCCCCTAAAGCCTCATGCTTTTTCAGAGGTGGTTCAATCCAGAGTGTGTGAGTAAATCATGGTGAGGCTAGGTCTGAGAGTACTAGGACTAAGGATGTGAGTGTTACCCACCCTAAGTAGCATGAATAAGATAAAAAGGGGCAGAAAGAAACTGTTAAGGCCCCTTGTTGCTTTTGCTGTCTTTTGCCACCATGAACTACTGCCACTCTGCCATGTGCCATTTTGCCTTGGAGCCAGCTGATTATGGACTGAAACCTCTACAAATTATGAGCTAAAAACCCCCTTCCCCTCTAACTTTGGGTGTCGGGTATTTTGTTTCAGCAACAAGAGAAAAGTAACCAACACACCTAGCATGTGCCAGGACCTGGGTTAAATCTCCAGTATCACGCCCTCCAAAAACTTTCCCCTAGCCTGGCAAAAAACACAAACAAAAAAACAAGGAAGAACAAATGCCAGAGAAACAGACTTGACAGAGGTGAGAGAGTCAAGTCAGTCAGCCATGGTGATACCTGAGGAGTACTAAATGCACAGGAACAAACAGTGCAAAGGCCCTGGAGTATTTCAGAACAGCAAGGAGGCCAGTGAGGCTGGAAGGAAGCCAGCAAGGGAGACAACTGGTAATTACGAGAAATATAAGTAGAGAAGGAACACAGACTATGTAGGGTGTATGGGTCACTGTAAGCAATTATTTCCACAAAGGGTTGAGAGCTGAATGTCATGATGTGTTTTACCATCATCACTTTAGCTGCTGTGCTGAGAAGAAGCTATAGGCATGGCAAGGGTGAAAAAAGCAGGGTGACCAGTTGAGAGGTTACTAAAGAAACTCAGGAAAGAAATACAAGCTGGGTGTGGTGGCACATGCTTGTAATCCCAGCAGAGAGGCTGAGGCAGGATGACTGATACAAGTTCAAGGCCAGCCTGGAATATAAAGCAAGACCCGATCTCAAAAGACAAAAAGAAAAGAAAAAAATACGTAGTTTCTACAAATGTTTATCATAATGGTACAGGGCTTATTTATTTTTGGTTGTTTTTTCTCTGGTACTGGAGATTGAAGCCAGGGCCTCATACATGCTAAGTACACAACCTATCCCTAAGTTACACCCCTAGCCCAGGACTTACTTTTAAGCAAGAATAAGTAAAAACAAATCTATCAGATCCTTCTCTAATAGAAAATAACAAACTGTTTTATAAAGCTTGTGGCATATACGTCCACAGTACAATATAAACACCAAAGTTATCTTTTAACTATTCACTACAGAAAAAGTGTTCCTTTATCTTTATAATAAACTACTCCATTTAAAGTCCTAGTCCAGCTGAGTCTATTTTTTAAAGAAATGAGCCAATATTGCTGTGGGTTTGTTAATTATATACTGTATCCTGAAAAAGTTACTTTTGTCAACTGAAAATATTACAAATCATTTACCTTGGATTAGTGCTTTTCAGGTCATCTAAAATAAATACTTCTTGAATCTTATTTCCTTTAGGGGGTACAATATTCTTTCTATAAAAGTTTCTTTTTATGGTCTCATCTCTTAAAATAACTATTCTCTTAAAATTTATACTAAGTTTATCTATCATTATCTGGGTCATTCTCCTCAGGAAGGGGCAGCTGCAAAAAATTTCCAGTCAGAAATAACACATTCCAAAAAAGTCCTCATAGTACCAAAAAATACTATCATCTTGTCCTTTTGGAAAGAGGAAATATAGTTCTCATAAATTCTCAAGTTTTCTTTAACAATTATCATAAGGATAAGAGAAAAACATGTGCCTTGAAGGGCTAAGGAGCAAAGATCCGGAAATAAACTCATAGTACCTCTAAAAAATTTGCTCATGAACTTAGGCACATTTTTGCTTTGTTTATATAGGAGGGGTCAAAGTGATATATAAAGTTTACTTGCTTCACTCAAAAGACATATTATCCAGATTCAGCATGGAATTAGACTACCCCTGTGACAATTTATACATCCTGGAGAGAAATGAGAATGAAAATACACTAACACTGAATTCAACTTAATTCATTCAACATCTAGGTGTTTTTACATACTAGGAATCCCCTGAATCATTGCAAGGGATGGATGGCCCTTGAGAATGGTGCTTCCATTCTTCACTTATTCCAGTTACAGAAGTACCTACCACGAGCCATATGCTGAGGATATAAAACCATATTACATGGGAGGATGAAGAGAACACCTCAAGAATGAGACACACATCTAATTAAACAAAGATATTAAAGTGTACTGCTTATGTAAATGTTGAAGGTCCAGTAAGGGACACAGCTAGGAATTCAAGGTGGGACGATAGTGTCAGGATTTCAGATACAAGAGCTGAGTCCTTAAAGAGGATTAGATGTTCACCTGGCTGACCTTGGGGGAAGGGCTCAAGCTGAGAGCAACTGGAGCAAAGGCAAATGTGTGAACGGTCTGATGTATCTGATAGGCCTGGAATACAGAATATGAGAAGCCAGGAAGGTTCCTCCATGCCACAATTAAGACTGGACTTGACTGGCATATGTGAAAGGAACTTGAAGGGTTTTACTCAGAAAACTAGCACATGAAATCAGGTTTTTCTGGTGTGATGAAACACTAGTTTACATAGGAATGAAAAGAAAACACTAGATAATGATGTCATCCCATGAAAAAACAAAGGAGACTACCCAGTTAGAAAACTAAACTCCCTTCAAGGAAAAAAATCAAGTACAATTATTCAAGCCCTTGTAGAAAGTTTTTCATTATCATGTAAAATTGAAAAAACAAGAAGAAAGGTTTTACATATACCATGGATTACATCTACCTACACAACTATGCTGAGTTTTCAAGATGTCTTAGCTCTTAACAATTCTGTAACACATCTGGGGCCACTGATTGTTGTACAAAGCGACGAAACCTATTCCACAGAGTCTTTGATATAAGTGAGAACCACCAGTAACAGATGGTATTTTCCAAGTCAGGCTGAGGTTTCCAAAGTTCAAGATAATTAAGCTTTAAGTCAGCTCGTTTAAAAGGTGTGTCATGGGGTGGAGCAAGAGGAGGGGCTAAAAATCAACATATACATATATAAACAAGTAACTTAATGTCGCTGGGACTAACATCACCAGTTGGAGATTTATCTCCCAAATAGAGGGAGAAAAGACCATCTGCCAGACCAATTAACAAAAGGTGGGGGGTGAGGAAGAGGGTTAGATATGAAAATATAAATGGAGGGGGTTGGCCACCAACCCAGAAACCATAATACAACTGCTGATGCGATGAGGAAATCATGATTCAGTCATAAATGCAAGAAAATAATGTCACTCTCGAACTCTACGTGTGAACCACCAGACATACACTGGCCAAGAGGATATGATCACATACTGATTCCCTTAACTCAAGGACAGTGTACCGTGCCCAAACGGAGTCTGAGGAAGGTGAAGGATCACCCTTATTCTGGGATAGGGAATAGCAGCCCTCAGACCCAGACCAAGAGGTCGGCGATCCCAAGGCTAGGCCTTGCGGAGGCCTGAGGCAAAGACAGCCCGAAGTCCCCTCCAGCTCGGCCAGAGCAGCCTCTCACCTCCCCTCCGACACACACCCTCCCCTACCTGATATGGCGGCGGCGGCTCCTGATCCGGCTCCGTGCCCTCGCCAAAGCTAGCCCGGTCGGACTGAGACTCGTGAAGCAGGGAAATGTCATCCGAGGTGGGCGATTTGAGGCAGTTCCCCATCTTCGGGGCTGGGCTGTGTGATCTGGGGGAGGGAGAAAGCAGTGACGGGGTCTTTCGCACGCTCCGCGGTCAGGCTCGCTCGGCGAGGTCGGCAGCAGGCCGGGGCTCAGGCGGCGACTCCCCCGCCCCCCGGTGCGGCGGAGGGACCGCTCATGCCAGCCCCCGGGGACCGGGGCTCAACGCTGGGCCGCGGGCTCCGCCGGGGTCGCGACGGTGGCCTCCGGCGAGCCTGCTGGGGGGGGCGGGGGCGGGGAGACGAGGCGCTTCCCCACCCCGCCCCCCCGCGGGGCTGCGGCGGCCACCGAGCCGCTGGGCCTAATCCAGGTCAGGAGGTGGGGGCGCGGCCGTCGCGGCTGCCTCAGCTGCTGCCTCAGCTGCTGCTGCCCCCGCCGACGCCGGAGCCACGGCCGCGGGCCTCATCCTACTCCGCCTCAGCGCGGCGGCGGCGGCCAGAACGAGGCTGGCGGGACCCTGCGTCATCCCGCCTTGCGTGCTTCGGCCCCACCCACGGGGCCGCGCGGCCCCTCCCCTTTCCCCTCCGGGCCTTGGCGCGGGGTCTGCGGCGGCGTCTGTTCCTACCTTGGCGGTGACGCTCGCTGACTCTGAACTCTCTCTGCAGTCTCCTCGACTTTCCTACGAACGCCGTTCTGCCCGGTTTAACCCTCACCTCTTACCTGAGCACTGTTCTGAAAGTCTTACCTCCTGCCAAGCGCTCTATTTATAAATCCATATCTGAGCCGGGTGTGGTGGCGCACGCCTATAATCCCAATGCTGGGGAGGCTAAGGCTGGAGGATCGCTGCAAGTTCAAGGCCAGCCTTGACTATATAGTGAGCTTAAGGCCAGCCTGAACTACGTAGGGAGACTCTGTCTCAAAAAAAAAAAAAAATCCATATCTGAATAGATCAATCCCGTGGTTAAAATGTTACCTGGCTTCCCCTTTCATCCCTTCAGAATAAAGTCCAAGCTCATTAATGACACAAAGATTATTCTAGCTGTTATCTCAGACTGTTGCCTTTCTTTGCATTCCCACCACTAAAGCCACTGTGTCCTGTCTCAATGAGGCTTCTTCAATAGAGCCTCAGCGAATCTCCCTGCCTTTGCGGTTGCTCCCATCCAACCCAGGATTCGCACAGCTGATGGCATTATCATTAAAAATGTAAATCTGGTCATATAATTCTGTTTAAAATCTCCAACGGCTTCCCCGTACTGTCCTTAACATAATCGTCAAATGGTTCACAAGTCTATCTCTCCAACCTCACTAGCAGCATTGTCTCCTCCACGGACTAAATTCTAGGCTGCCCAAAGTGCTTCTGGTTACATCCAAGACCCAAAATTCTGCACGAGGCCTGTCCCCATATTCGTTCTCTGAAGAATCTTCTTTTCCTCATCCGACCTTCTACCTTTCATCAGGGTAATCATTGTTCACATGTCTTTCCCGGATTTTGTTTCATTTCCGTAATCTTCCCATGTGGGTCTGTCACTCCTGTGTGATCTCCGACCCTGAGCTTTTCCCTTTTACAGCCCGATCAAGCTGGATCCTGGGTCCCTCCTCTGGAAGCCTGGCACGTTACCTCAGGGAGAGCAGGCTCTCTCCTTGGTTTGGTGAACAGCTGGAACAACACAAGCAAAGGAAGGAAGCAAGAAAGATGAGTGTGCTCCCCGTGGTCATTCATTCAGCCAGAAGGCAAGACGTGACCTTGACTCCTTTTCTTTTATTCATCATTTGCTGATTTATTATTATTATTAATATTTTTATTTTTATTTCCAGCCCCTATGCTAGGCACTAGGGAGGGCTTGGCTGCTCCTCCTGGATCCCAGAGACCATCCAGGAAGACAAACAGATGAACTCTTCTGAGCTGTCCCTGAAAGCATTTTAGAGAACTCAGAAGAGAGTAGTTCATTTGGGTAAATATCAGAAAGGTGTCTTAGAGCTCATACTGGATTAAATCAGTGTGGGTCTAAGAACCCTTACTTTGGAAATACCAATTCTACAAAATCACTATCTTAGGGCTGGCATGTGGCTAGGTGGAAGAGCACTTGCCTAGCATGCACAAGACTCGGGATTCAACCTCCAGCACTATCCAAAAAGAAAATGCACTCAAATTCCATTTGAAACATAACCTTTTTTCTTTTTTTCTTTTTTTAAACAGGGTCTCGCTATATCATCCATGCTGGCCTCAAATTTGTGACAATCCTGCCTCAGCCTCCCGAGTGCTGGGATTACAGGCGTGTACCACCATGTCCAGCATTGCTGTAAATTTTTTGAAAAGAATGTCATAATCTTGATTTTGAAATTGTTGGACTTCCAGGAAGTCATGTAATTTAATGATTAGTTAAACTTTCTAAAAATCAGAGATACGTACTCTGGAATTTTTCCAAATGAGGAAATACAGTTTACACATATTTTTCATGCCTAATAACATTTTCATAACTAACAAATTTAGCATGTTTGTACAGTGCTAGAACTTGTAGACATAGTTTTTTTTAAGGTTTGTTTTTCTTTCCTTTCTTTCTTTTTTTTTTCCTTTTTCTTGGTGTTTTGAAATAGGGTCTTGTTACATAGTTCAGGTTGGACTTCAACTCACTGTGCAGCCCAAGCTGGCCTCAAACTCAAGACAATCCTCCTGCCTCAGCCTCCCAAGTGCTGGGATTATAGGTGTGTGCTACCACACCCAGTTTTAATGTTTATTCCCCCCCACACCAGGTGCTTAACAAATAAGGCCTTGAAGCAAGTTGGGGTGGCACACACCTATAATCCCAGCATTTTGGGAAGCTGAGGCGGGAGAATTGCAGGTTTGAGCGCAACTTTTTTGAGACCATCCTGAACTACACAGTGAGACCTTGTCTCAGAAAAACACCAAAAGTAAAGCTGGGCACAGTGATGCATGCTTGTAATCCCAGTACTTGGGAGGCTGAGGCAGGAGGATCACCAAGAATTCTAGGCCAGCCTGGGCTACATGTTGAGTTCAAAGCCAATCTGAACTATATAGCAAGACCCTGTCTCAAAAAACCTAAATAAAATAAAATAAAATAGAAATCCAGATGTGGTCGTACCTGCCTGTAATCCTAGAACTCTGGAAAGCTAAAGCAGGAGGATCACACATTTGATCCCAGCCTGGGATCAGTTTAGTGACTTAGTAAAACCCTGTCTCAAAAAAGTGAGAAAAAGGGCTGGGTTTAATCCTCAGCACCAAAAAGGATAGGGCTTGAAAACTTCTATAGTGCCTTATGAAGAAAGGCAGTGTTGCTGAGTCTAAAACTACATTGGTGATATACACCTGTAATCCCAGCACTCGGGAGGCTGAGGCAGGAAGATTGCTTGGAGTTCAAGGCCAGCCTGGGCTACATAGTGAGTTCAAGGCCAACCTGCACTTCAAAGCAAGACCCTGTCTCAAAAAATAAATACATACATAATAAAATAAAACTGCTTTAATTGTATGCTAGAAGATGGGAGGATCATTTGAGGACCAGTAATGACAGACATAATCCCTGCCTGCCTTCAGACAGCTCAATGTGTGGTTGGGGTAGGGAGTGTAAAAAGACAATTAGCAATTTAGACCTTAATTCTTCTTTTTTCTTTTTCATATATATATATATGTGTGTATATATATATATATATATATAGAGAGAGAGAGAGAGAGAGAGAGAGAGAGAGAGAGAGGAGAGAGGAGAGAGGATTCTCCACCTCACAAAGTACACCTTTGTCTGTTGACTGAACTGCTACATGTTCCCGAGCCCAGCAATACCAGCTGGTAGGGTAGGGAGTGATGTTGAAATATCAGTTCCCCTCTCACTGTGCAGAAATTCAAGTCACTTGTAAATCACTTTTTTTTTTTTAAGACAGGATCTGGCTATGTAGTTCAGGCTGGCTTTGATCTCCCTCTGTATCCTATGCTGGTCTTGAATTTGCAGTGATCTTCCTGCTTTAGCCTCTGAGTGCTGGGATTACATGCATGTGGCACCATGCCCAGTCATAAGTCACTTTTTAAGCAGCCACAGAGTGTAAGATTCTATAATAGCACTTATAGGAACATAATAAGGCAACAACATGTAACCCATACATATCAGGAAGAAATGTGGAGATGATATTTTACAGAGTAAGGTAGTTATCGATCATTATTCCTATAGGAAAAGGCTTTTTCTCCCTCGTACTAGAGATTGAACCTAGGACCTCGGGTAAGCTAGGCAAGTGCTGCACAACTGAGCCGTACTCCCAGTGTCAGCATTATTTCCTCAGGGATGGCTGGAGCACCAGCTACAACTTTAATGTAGTTTTGTTTTTTTGGGTTTTTTTGGTACTGGGGATCAAACTGAGGACCTTGCTCTTGCAAGGCAGGCACGGCACCACTGAGCTAAATCCCCAGCCCCAACTTTAATATAGTTTAAAAAATGATACAAATGGTCTTGATGATGATGCTAATAAGATTATAATAACATAGTAGTCATTATAATAATATTTCTGTCAACAACAGACCATATATACTGTGATTATCTCGTCAGATTTAATGGAGCTGACAAATTCCTATCACCAAGTGATTTCATAGCCATTATAATATTGTAGTGCAACACATCACTCAAGTATCTGTGGAATGCTGGTATAAACAAACCTATTGTGCTACTAGTCATGTAAGCGTGTAGCACATACAATTATCTACCCTACATAATACTTGACAATGATAATGAACAATTATGTGCTGGTTTAGGTATTTACTATATTTTTTTTATTATTTATAAAACAAAAATTTTACTGGGGCTGGGGATGTAGCTCAGTGGCACCATACCTGCCTGGCAAGCTTATGCTCCTGAGTTATATTCCTGGTACCAAAAAAAAGAAGTTGACTGTAAAACAGTTTGCCATGTTACACCAGCAGCAGCCTTACACATCTCATGTCTTTCTTTCTCTCTTTCCAGTACTGGGGATTGAACCCAGGACCTTTTGCGTGCTAGGAAAGCACTCTGTCACTGAGCTACATCCCCAAAACTTCAAAATAATATATTTTTTGATACCAGGTCTTGCTAAGTGGCCAGCCTCAAATTTTTCATTGCCCCCTGCCTCCACATTAGCAACACATCTCTTAATTGCATCATTTTCTTTTCTCTGTGACTTAGTCTTGTGTTAGTTTATTCATTAAGGCCCCTAAGCATATAAAATCCACTGCAACTGTTGCTATTAAGATACCACATCAAGTGATGGATCTGGAAATGAAATTAAAAGTCATTATGAAGCCAGGCACTGTGGAACATGCCTGCATCCCAGCTACTTGGGAGGCTGAGGCAGGAGGATCACTTAAGCCCAGGGGTTTGTAGCCATCTTGGACAACACAGCAAAGCTATCTTAGAAAAAGGGGGCCAGGGATTTAGCTCAGTGATGCCATGCCTGCCTCACAATTGCAAGGCTCTGATTTCAATCCCCAGGACTGGAGAGAGAGAGAGAGAGAGAGAGAGAGAGAGAGAGAGAGAGATTGATTGAAGGACTGTGAAGCAGAGAATCAGTGATGGTTATTGTTCACCTGTCAGGCATGTCGTAGTCTACCATAGCTATGATGTTGAAGAAAAGGAACAAACTGACAGAAGCTATTAGAATCTGGTTCATTGGAAGCAATGAACAAACAAAATTTTGGGCTCTATCAAATATGGAGAAACTTCTATTATAGATTCAACACCAGACACAGAAGTGTATCCCTTTCAACACCAAGACTGTCCTAGCCAAGTTTTTTTGCCATGTGGAAAGAAAAGGTTGGAAATGAACTATGACGTTGGACTTATTGGTAGCTCTGTGTGGTTTAAAAGAGTTAAGGGCTGGGAGAGTAGCTCAGGAATAAAATGTTTGCTTATCATGTATGAAGTCCTGAGGTTGATCCCAGCACTGCAAAAATAAGTAAAAAGGGCTGGAAATTTAGCTCAGTGGCACCATGCTTGGTCCTGAGTTCAATCCTTGGTACCACAAAAAATAAATAAATGAATGAATAAATAACAAGTCAGATAGGTGGCACATGCCTCTAATCTCAACCACTCAGGAGACTGAGGTGGGGGGATCTTGAAGTTCAAAGCCAGCCTGTGCAATTTAATGAGTCTCTGTCTCAAAAACTAAAATAAAGGGGCCTGGGATTTAGCTCAGTGGTTCTGCCACCTGCCTTGCAAGTGAAAGGACCTAAGTTCGATCCTCAGTACCAAAAAATAAATAAAATAAAATAAAAAGAGCTGGGGATGTAGCTTGGTGATAGAGAACTTACTAGAATGTATGAAACCCTGGATTCTATCCCTAATACCATAAATTAATAACAATAATGATATAAAAATTAAAACATTCAAGAATAATTATTGTGGAGCCAGGTGTGGTGGTGCACCCCTGTAATCCCAGTTACTCAGGAGGTGAGGAAGGAGGATCACAAATTGGAGGCCAGCCTGAGCAACTTGAGGCCCTGTCTAAAAGACAAAAACCCGAAAAATAAAAACCCCAGGGCTGGTGATGTAGTTCAACACTTCCTGAGTTCAATCCCCAAGACATACACACACACAGAAGAATTGCTATTCTGGCTAAGGATGAAGCTGGTAGAGAACACACTTAAGCAATTCTGGAAGAATTACAACATCTGTGATTGCATCAAGAATCTTCATTAGGGCTGGGGATTTAGCTCAGTGGTTCTACCGCCTGCCTCGCAAGCACAAGGACCCGAGTTCGATCCCTGGTACCAAAAAAAAAAAAAGAGAATTAAAGAATCTTCCTTGGGCTGGGGATGCTGTCACTAAGATGTGAATGAATAATAGTATCAGGAAGAAGACACTCAAGGTTCATCCATGTCTTGAAAGGACTTGTCAAGGATGAGACAGTTGCAAAAATCAATATGGCCATGGTGGAGATGACAATTTTAACCTGGGTGTGGAAGAGGATGATACTGAGGAGTACCTAGAGGTGGTTCCTGAGGAAATGAGTGACGAGCAGTTGTTAGAACCAGAACAGGACTTCATAGCTGAAGGAGAGGCAAGAAGAAAGTCAGCTGGGGAAGAACAAAAAGAAAAACCTCTAAGAAAATTCACACCATAGGGTTTAGCAAGAGCTTTTTCAGATCTCAACAAGCTCCTTAAAAAATTTTGAAGGCCGAGGATTTAGCTCAGTGGTGCTGCTGCCTGCTTGGCGAGTGCAAGGTCTTAAGTTCAATCCCCAGTACTACACATACACGCACGCACGCACGCACGCACGCACGCACACACACACACAAGCTTGAAAACAAGTCAGATGTGTTACCACATGCCTGAAATCGCAGCACTTGGGAGGCTGAGGCAAGAAAATCAGGCTGAGGTCAGCCTGGTTTACACACTGAGACTCTGTCTCCAAGGGGGAAAAATTGAAAACTGAAAGATTTTCATAATAAAGAAGCATGTTCACAGTGTCTTCTTACAAGGAAAGCTATGATAAAAGAGAAACAAACTAAGCAAACCACCATGGCTCTATTTGTGAAGAGTGATCCACCTCAGGAAGAGGCTCAGGAGGTCCTTCAGGAGGCCTCACAGAACAAGGCCCTGTCACCACAGAGGGTGACAGCTCCATGTATCTTATTGCTCTTGAAGACCTTGCAGTGGGAGAAGATGTAGAAGTGGAAGACGGCGGTACTGATAATCCTGACCCTTTGTAGGCCTAGGCTAATGTGTATGGCGTTTTTTGGGGGGGTTTGTTTTGTTTTGTTTCGTTTGTGGTACCAGGGATCAAACTCGGGTCCTTGCGCTTTCAAGGCAGGTGGCGGAACCAGTGAGCCAAATCCCAGGCCCCCTAATGTGTATGTTTTAAGAGTAAAATAAAACAAAAACTTAAAAATAAAAAAGGCTTATAGAGGGCCAGGGTTTGGCTCAGTGGTTCCGCCACCTGCCTTGCAAGCGCAGGGTCCTGAGTTCGATCCCTGGTACCAAAAAAAAGAAAAAGCTTATAGACTAAAGATATAAAGGAAGAAATGATTTTTTGTATATCTGTGCAATGTGTTTGTGTGTTTACAAGAGTCCCAAAAGGCTGGGTACATAGCCCAGTGGTAGAGCACTTGCCTACCAGGCATGAGGCCTTGGGATCAATCCAAAAAGTCAGTAAATTGAAAAAACCCAGTATAGTGGTGCATATCAGTAATCTCAGCTCCTCAGGAGGCTGGGGTAAGAGGATTTCAAATTTGGCTCAACCACAGCAAATTCCAGTCCTTGTACTTTTTGTTTGATTTTGTTTTCCATTACAACTTCCAGTCTTACAAGCTCCACTCAGCAAGTTCTCAATAGAAGTGTTCTCTTTTTTCTCCTTCATACTGTATTCTTACTCTGTGCTTTCTGTGTTTAGATATGTTTATATACACAAATACTTCCCATTGTGTTACAACTGCCTGCAGTATTCAATAGTCACAGGTATACAGTTTTGTATAGCAGCAACAGGATACACATTGTAGCCTAGAGATGTAGTAGGCCACACCTTCCAGGCTTACATAGTTCTACTCCATATGATGACAGAATAACCTAATGAGATATTTCCTAGAGTATATTCCTATGATTAAGCAACACGTGACTCTAACTGTATCTGTCATTTAATTTGGTGCTTACTGTCTCCCAAGTAGTTCTAACTGGCTTACTTCTGTTCACTTCATTCAAGAAATTCAATGGCCTGCAGGGCTGACCATATGGCTCAGGGGTAGAGTGCTTGCCTGGCATACACAAGACCCCAGGCACATATGTACATAACATACTTTTTATTCCCCTTTCTGTCCCCTCCTTCCACCTTCCTCCATCTCTAGATCCCCTTCCCCTTTTCCCATATGCAAAAGATCTATCTCTCTGTTTCCTATTGTCCATATTTTATTTTACTCTTTAAATTATTCATGTTTTGAGTTTCCCATATAAAAGAAACCATGTGATATTTAAGCTCATGTGCCTGATTTATTTCACTTAACATTGTGGTCTTAAGGTACATCCATTTTCCTATGAATGACTCAAATTAATCCTTTTTTATGGTAAAGTGGTACTCCATTGTGTATAAATACTGCATTTTCTTTATCCATTCATCTGTTGATGGGGGCTGCTGAGGAGGAGCCAAGGAGCTGAGCCACACAGATGCCAGCAACACCTCTGCCAACCCCCACCCCCGCCTCTGGCTGCTGGGCTGCACAGATACCTGGATCCTCACCACAGAGGTGCAAGGGGTCATAAAGGACATTGTTCTGAGCTCCAGAAGATAGAGCAGGAGTGAACAACAGAAAGAGAGCCTCTGTGAGGCTCTTCAATGAAAATTGAAGCCCACTGGAAAAGTGAAGAAAATCTCTACAATAAAGGCACACCAGACCACTGTAATTGGTAAGTTGGAGGGATCACCACCTCCCATCAAAACCTGGACTAACTTCAGGGGAAAGGGCAGATGGAACTTTCAGTAAAACCTTGCAGCATTCAACCAAGTAGGAGGTCAGGGAGCTCAACTTGGGCCTTGCAGCCAGAAATCAGCTCTAATCTCAGGGGACTGGCTTGAGCAAGCTGGCTTGCTGAGACTCATTGACTTAGATCAGCACACTGCTGCCCACATTGTCTATTGTGACACCAGAGACATACCCTGAAGGAGGCCTTTCATTTTTTTTTCTCTTATTTTTAGTTTTTTTCTTTCTCCTTTTCTTTCTCTCTCTACCTCTCACTCTCTTGCTCTTTCTCTCCCACCTCATTCTTCATCTCTCTCCCATTTTGTTCCTATTCCTGTCCTAATTTGCATTTTTTTCTTTCTTTTTTTTATCTTTTCTCTTTTTTCTTCTCTCAATTGTCATTAGTTTTAAAGGAAAGCAAATACAGTTTCTAGCTTCCCTATTGCTGTTAAGTTGTTCTGTTCTTGTCTTTGTTCTTTCATTCTGTCTTTTCCTCTTGTCTTCCACAGTTTCCTAGAGTTTGCGTGATCTTCCTGTGTCCTCAGGCCTCACTGCTAACCTTTCCCTATCTTTCTACCTATCCCTCCCTCCCCAACTTGTAAGTCTCCATCCCGAAGGGTAAAGTTGCTATATTGAAGAGTTTATTCATTATAAACATATTTTGGGCTGGTCCTTGATTTTGATTTAATTCACACAGTTAAAGGTGATAGATTAATAACTAACACAAATTGCCATTTTCTAAGCTCTGCTTGATGCTATTGTTGTTGCTGATTGTATCACTTGGGCTAAGGTATTGTGATTGATCTAATCAGTTGTCCTTCCTGGTATACTGAAAATAAGAATGCCTTAGAGTCATTAGAGACTCAAAACCCAAAGACCAGCTATATCTGGAAGACACCTCTGAGAAGCAGTCATTCCATAAGGGTGCTAAATGCAAGCAACAAAGTTACTTACAATAAACAATATTGAAGTATCAACCCAGGAATTAAACCAAAAACAGTACAAACGACAAAAATAGAAATGAGAAGATACTTAAGCAAGGTGCAAACCCGGACTTTCAGCTCACCAAAGGCAAATTCTGGGGGAAACGAGGTGGAAAAATCTGGTAATCAAGGCGCTGGGGATTTAGCTCAGTGGTTCCACTGCCTGCCTTGAAAGCACAAGGACCTGAGTTCGATCCCCAGTACCAAAAAAACAAACAAAAAACCCCAAGAGACTCAAAACTAGAGATAGCTTTCTCTTTGCTGGGGATTTAGTGCAGTGGTTCCACCGCCTGCCTTGCAAGAGCAAGGTCCTGAGTTTGATCCCCGGCACCAAAAAAAAAAAAAAAGTAAGGGACCATGAGAAATTGATCCAACAGCTCCTAGATGATGCAAAGAAAAATAATATAAGACTGATAGTCCATGAAAAAGGAGAAAGTACAAGTGACATAAAAAAATTGTTCACAGAATTAATGACAGAAAACTTTCCAAACAGAGCAAAAGAATTTGACATACAGATGAGGCATATAGGACTCCAACTAGCAATGATCAAAAAACATCTACACCTAGAAATATAATAATCAAGATCCCGGAATCCCAAAAGAAGAACAAAATACTACAAGCAGTTAGAGAAAAGAAACAAATCAAATACAAAGGAGAGCCCATCAGAATCACAGGAGACTTTTCAACACAAACCCTCAAGTCAAGGAGAGCCTGGAGTGAAGTATTTCAAGCCCTAAAAGAAAATAAACTCCAACCTAGACTGATGTATCCTCAAAACTATCTTTCAAAATTGATGGGGAAATAAGATACTTCCATGACAAAGAACACCTGAGAAACTTCATGAATACCAAAGAAGCACTCCAAACAATTCTAAAAAACATCCTAGAAATAGACAATGAAAGGTCACAGTTCCATTCATCTGTTGATGAACGTATAGGCTGCTTCCAAGATTTAACTGTTATATATTGTGCTACTATAAATATGGGTATGCATATATTGCTGTAGCATGATGTCTTTAGTTCTTTTGAAAAGATACCTAAAAGAAAAATGGCCAGGTCAAATGGAATTTTTAGTTTTAGGGTTTTTTTTGTTTGTTTGGTTTTGTCTTTTGGTACTGGGGATTGAACTCGGGTCCTTGCACTTGCGCAGCAGGCAGTGAAACCACTGAGCTAAAAAAATCCCTGGCCCAGCTAAATCCCCTGCCCTTTAGTTTTTAGAAATCTCCATACTGATTTCCATAGTGGTTGTACCAGTTTACATTCTCACCAACAATGTAGAAGGGTTCCTTCTACCTTATAGCCTCTCCAACATTTATTATGTTTTGATTTCTTTTTTCTCTCTTTCTTTCTTTCTTTTTTTTTTTTGGCACTGGGGATTGAACTCAGGACCTTGCACTTGTGAGGCAGGAGGTGGAACCACTGAGCTAAATCCCCAGCCCTATTTTTTGATTTCTTGATGATGGCCATTGTTTCTGGAGTAGGATGGAATCTCAGTTTTGTTTTAATTTGCATTTCCTGATGGCCTGAGAAGTTGCACGTTTTCACATGTATTTATTGGCCATTTGTACGTCTTCTGAGAAATGACTGTTCATTTCCATTCCATTTTTTATTTTTTTTATTTCGGTGCCCCATTTTCTGAATTTTTTCTATAAATTCTAGAAATTAGTCCTGTGTCCAAAATTTTCCCCATGGTGTCAGTTATCTTTTCACTCTATTGGTTGTTTCCTTTGCTGTGCAAAAGCTGTTTAATTTGGCATAACTCATTTGTTGATTCTTGATGTTATTTCTTGTGCAGTTGGAGTTCTGTTTAAAATCTTCTTACCTTAGAGCCAGGCATGCTGGCACACACCTGAAATCTCAGCACTCAGGACACTGAGGCAGGAGGATTGCCATGAGTTCAAGGCCAGCCTGGGTTACATAGTGAGTCTCAAAAAATCAAAAATCGGGGCCAGGGATTTAGCTCAGTGGTTCTGCCACCTGCCTCGAAAGTGCAAGGACCCGAGTTCGATCCCTGGTACCTAAATAAATAAATAAATAAAAAAGTCTTCACTTATATTATGTCTTCAAGACTTTACCTATCTTTATCTTACTTATTTTTTGTTTTGTTTTCTGAGACAGGGTTTCCCTATGTAGCCCAGGCTGGCCTTGAACTCTTGGCTATCCTCTTGCTTTAGCCTCCTGAGTGCTGGGATTACAGGCGTATGCCATCACACCCAGCTCTGATTTTATTTTAGTACATGGTAATACTTATGGGTCTAGATTCAATCTTCTACAGGTGTGATTTTCCCAGGACCATTTGTTAAAGAGGCTATCTTTCTTCTAGTGTATGTTTTTGGTCCCTTGCCAAAGATCAGATGATTTAATGTGGCTGGGGTTGTTTCCACATCCTCTATTCTGCTCCATTGATCATCATGTCTGATTTTTTTGTTGTTGTTAGAGTAGGACATTTTTTAGGGAATAGGAATAGCTCCTGAGAGACAGGAGGGGTCTTGAATGAGTTTTTGTACCAGTGCCATGCTTTTTTTTTTCAGTCACTGTAGCAACTTGAGGTCTGGGATTGTGATGCCTCCTGCTTTGCTCTTGTTAACCAGGATTGCTTTTGCTATTCTGGATCTCATCCGGTTCCATAAAAATATTAGGATTGTTTTTTCTAATTCTGTTAGGAATGCTGATTGGCACTGCAGTAAATCTATATATCAGTTTTGGTAGAATGGCCATTTTGACAATATAGTATTGGTTCTGTCTAACCAGGAACAGGGGATATCTTTCCATTTTCTAATGTCTTCTTCAATCTCTTCTTTTTTCAGAGTACTATAGTTGTCATTGTCTTTCACTTCCTTGGTAGGTAAATCCCAAGTATTTAATTTTTCTTGAGGTTATTGTGAATGGTATTGTTTTCCTAATGTCTTTCTCATGGGTTTATTATTGGTGTACAGGAACACTTTTGATTTTTGTGTATTGATTTTGTATCCTGCTGCATTGCTGAATTTGGTTATTAGCTCTGAAAGTATTTATCATTATTTTGTTGTTGTTGTTGAGATATGGGTCTTACTGTGTAGTTCAAACTGACCTTAACACTATATAGCCCATGGTGGCCTATATAGAAAAACTCATGACAATCCTCCTCCCTCAGCCTCCTGAGTGCTGGGATTACAGGACTGCAGCACCACACCAGGCCTAGGACTCTTTCGGTGGAATGTTTTGGTTTTCTATGTAAAGGATCATATCATATTCAAATAATGATAGTTTGGCTTCCTTTGTTGTATGCATCTCTTATTTCTTTTTCTTTCCTGATTGCTGTGCATTGTTTTGAGTACTACATTGAACGGGGATAATGATAATGGACATGTCTTGTTCCTGATTTTAGAGAAAACTTTCAGCTTTTCTCTATTTAATATGATGTTGGCAGTAGATTTGTCATAAAAGGCTTTTATCAGTTTGAGATGAGGGTGAAAACTATCTCTGGGTATAAAAATGGGCAACTGTGGGTTAGCTGTGTAACTAGGCTTGCTGAAAAAGATATATTGTAACTATAGTCACTACTGTAATGCAAACTCACTAGAGCAAGGCTATCTAGAAAGCCCTGCCAAACCTCCTGCTTCCCCTTTTATTGCCCCTGTGCTTATGTAATTGTTTAGATTGATAGCTGTTTCCCCAGTGATTAAGGTTGCTGTTTCCCTCTCCCATAGAAACATAAAGGTATAAAAATGAGAGTAAACTTGTTTGACACTTTCAAGGTGATTTGAATTCTTTGAAGCCGCAGGCAATAAAACTGATTTTGCTCCTACTCGGTGTGGTCGGTGGGCTGTACGGAGATCCCCAAGTGGTCATGCTTCAGAAATAAGATCCTTCTGTACCTATTTTCTTCCGGGTTTTAAACATGAATGAATGTTGGGTTTTGTCAAAGGCTTTTTCTGCATCTGTTGAGATGATCTTGTGATGTTTGTCCTTGGTTCTGTTTATGTGGTGTATTACATTTACTGACTTGTGTATGCTGAACCATCCTTGCATCCCTGGGATGAAGCCTACTTGGTCATGATGTATGATCTTTTGATGATGTGTTACATTCTGTTTGCCAGTATTTTGTTGAGGATTTTTGCATCAATATTCATACAAGAGATGGGCCTGTGATTTTCTTTTTTTGTTGTTGTTGGTACCAGGAATCAAACTAAGGACCTTGCACTTTTGAGGCAGGTGGTGGAACCACTGAGCTAAATCCCTGGCCCTGTGATTTTCTTTTTTAATTGGGTCCTTGTCTGGTTATGGAATCAAGGTAATGCTAGCTTCCAGAATGAGTTTGGAAGTATACCTTCCCTTTCAATTTTATTAGAGTTTGAAAAATATGGCATTAGATCTTCCCTGAAGTTCCTGTAGAATTCACTGGGTCCAGAGAATCCACTGGGTCCTGGGCTTTTCTTAGTTGTTAGGTTTTTTTATTACTGCCTCACTTTCATTTCCTGTTATTGGGCTGTTCAGGGTTTTTAATATCTTTTTGGTTCAATTTTGGTAATTCATGTGTCTAGGAATCTGTCCATTTCTTCTAGATTCTCTAATTTGTAGGGGTATGAGTTTTTATAATAGTAACTAATAATATGGATTTGAGTGGTGTCTGTTGTGATTCCTCCGTTTTAATTTCTTTCTTTTTTTTTTTTTTTTTCGTTTGTTGAGACAAGGTCTTGCTATGCAGTTCAGCCTGGATTTGAACTCATTGTGTAGCCCAGGCTGGCCTCGAACTCACAGCAATCCTCCTGCCTCAGCTTCCCCGAGTGCTAGAATTATAGACATGTGTCACCGTGCCAGGCCTTTCTTTTTCATTTCTAGTTGCATTGATATAGGTCTATTCTTTACTTATTTCGGTGAATTTGGCTAAGTACTTTTCTATTTTGTTTATTCTATCAAAGAACAGGCTCTTCAATTCATTGTTACTTTATATTGGTTTTTTTTTAGTCTCCTTTTATAATTTTTTTTCCCACTTCTTTTTTACAGGTGTTTATGCTGGTCTAGGAAATTCTTTTTTTTTTTTTTTGGTACCGGGGATCGAACTCGGGTCCTTGCACTTGTGCAGCAGGCAGCAAAACCACTGAGCTAAATCCCCAGCCCCTTCCTTTTATAATTTTTTAGAATTTTGAGATAGGGTCTCACTAAGTTGCCTACACTGGGCCTGAACTTGTGCTCCTTTGCCTTAGCCTCACAGTGCTCTAATTACAGAGATGTACCACAATACACAGTTTGCTTATTGTTTTTTAAAATTAATTTATGTGAGAAAATTATGGGAAAAAGTAATGCATATTAAACTTAGAAGTAGGTGATATCTGTACTATTATATTGGGAATTACACGAAAAATTCCTTCAGAATTTCAAAACTATTATCTAATGTGGCAGGAAGTAGCTCATTTTATTGACAGATGAGTTCTAACATATTTCTTCACTGATTTATTTTTGTGTGACTGGTTAATATATCATTTGCCAGGTGTGGTGGTGTCCACTAAATAGATGTATCCTTAAGGCCCTGTTTGTAGTAGAGTCCTCCACATGTCCCCAACAATCATTGGTTAATTCTCTAGCCTGGAACAATGACATCATTGGATCCTTTAGAAGGAAAACTTCAGGTATTTGTCTCTTTCCCCTGCATTGCTATTTACCTTGTCTCCTTCACACAATTCCAACAGCTTTCTAATGATGCCCTTGTCTCTGAACTATCAATTTATTCTTCACACTACTACCATCAACAATGGGATCAAGCTGAGCCTGGTGGTGCACACTGTAATCCCAACATTAGAGAGGCTGAGGCAGGAGGATCTGTATGAGTTTGAGGCCAGCCTGGGCTACATAGTGAGTTCAAGTCCAGCCTGAATTACATAGTAAGACCCTATCTCAAAACAAAAAAAGGTGTGAGGGGGGTGGATCAGAGAGCATTCATGGACTTGTGAAATCCAGTGTGTCGTTAAGGCCTTATGTCATTTGGTTCTATCCTTACCTTCCCCGTGACTCAACTCTGATCAGTCATCCACATGCCCCAGCCACGTCACACTACTGCCATGCTTTCATTTTCATTTTCATTTTCACTGCACTTTTCCATCCCTGACCTATTGCCATGTGTTCTGTTACATACCTCTTTCTTCATAAAGCTATCCCTGATTTCCCTCAAGTGGAATATAATGTAATAGTAAAACATAAATACGTTCTATTATTGTCTCATATCTACTTCTAATCACATAGGCATATAAGTTTTAGTATATATAATCATAAATGCCATTTATTAGCCTGAACCAGAAACGTAAGAGTGAAGGTACATACTGATAATCTTGTGTTACAGGAGGAGAGCTGTGGTCCTGGACAGGCCAAGGTGGCACATGCAGGTCATCCCAGCTGCCCAGGAGGCTGAGGTGCACAAGTCAGGAGCTCAGGAGTTCAAGGCCAGCCTGAGCAACACAGTGAAATGCTGTCTCAAAAGAAGAATAAAAGAAAAAGAAGAGAAACATGGCATAGAAAAGAAGGAGGAGGAGGAGAAGAAAGAGAAGGAGGAGGAAGAGAAGAAAAAGGAGAGGAAGAATTTAAACAAACAAACAAAAAACATGGCTTCAAAGTGCCCCTTGTCACATGGTATTCAGGGGTAAGGCAAGAATTTGAATCATGTAACAGTTACTTTTACTAGGTTGTAGAAAAGCCTGTTTTTTCATCCTGACATTCCTCCCTCCCTCGTAAAACAGGGGAATGGAGGGAGGCCTTTGGTGAATGCTTTTCGGCATCTACGCTCACATCTAAGGAATTAGCTATGTAGTGCTCTTTCTTCCTAACCTGGTTTTGGAGAAGAGTGCGCTGGAGGTACCCTATAGACCAAAAAGTGTGACCTAATTATGAACATAATTTAAAATTGAAAATGGCAAACAAAATTATTGTAGGAAATTTAATGTGGAAGCAGATTACAAGAAACTAGATTCTAGTATCTTCTATTCAGCAGGATAGGAAAGATGTACTGAAAAACTGTATAACTTTTTGTATTGGAAAATATAGGGGTTTTTTTTTTTGGTACGGGGGATCGAACTTGGGACCTTGCACTTTCGAGGCAGGCAGTGGAACCACTGAGCTAAATCCCCAGCTGAAAAAATACAAGTTTAAAAAAAAAAATTATTTGGCTGAGGGTGGTGGCTCATGTCTATAATCCCAGCAATTGGGAGGCTGAGGCAGGGATCATAACAAGTTCGAGGCCAGACTGGGCTACATACCAAGACCCTGTCTCAAAAACACCAAGAAAAGGGCTGGGGATTTAGATCAGTGGTTCCACTGCCTGCCTCACAAGAGAAAGGTCCTGAGTTTGATCCCTGGTACCAAAAAAAAAAACCTAAGGAAAAAAACCCCTCCATTATTTATGTTAATATGTAATAGGCTTAATTTTTGTAATAGGCTTAATATTTTTAAAACAAATATATTTTAATATTTCTCAGCTTTTTTTTCCAGTAGTGCATACCATCTTTTTTAAAAATTTTATTTTATTGGTACATTTTAGGTATATAATATTATGACATTCATCATTGGAAATTTGCACCTTTACATAATCTCTCTTAGTTCTTATTTTTTTCCCCCTTCCCCTGTCCTCCCTTTTTACAAAGACTTTGTTTCCATTTTTTCATATTAATTCCATCCCCTTCTTTACTTTCCCCTACCCCTCCCACTTCCCCTTCCCCTTTGCCCCTTTTCTTCCTATTTCACATATCTACTATACCTTTTAGTCCTTATTTACACTTTCAGTTTCTCACACTAGAGAAACTATTCGGTATTTACACATGTGTGTCCTATTTATTTCAC